TCTGGAGGCAATAAAACGTGGCTGGAGTTCCTCCAAAGCGCAATCCCCCAGTGTCCTAGAAAATCCGACTGGCAAGACTTGTTTTTATTTGACCCGACTCAGGCCTCTCCCAGTGTGAATGTTCCTTTCCTGAGGGAGTTGTTGAAAATAATCAGCGGTAATTGTTTATTATTGCAGCTACTGGAGACAATGATAACTGTTGCCATGAAGAACAAACTGACCAAAGCAATTAAAAGGATAAATTGGGGAATGAGATGTCCATGAGGGATCTGAACAAACAACATACTTCTGGGAAACTGCAAGGCCACATGCGTGTGTAGGGCTGTGTGCAATCCCAGCACTCGCCGCTGGCTGACCTTCAGGGTCTGCCCAGCAGTAGGTGAAGGCAAAATGGGGTAATAATCTGTGTGAGTGCTGAAGGGCAGCCCGGACATGCACACAAAGCCTCTTGGCAAGGACTAGGAAACTTACTGGTCCAAACACTTAGTACAAATATTTGCAAATCCTTTATCTGATAGGGCTCTAATATCCAGAATGTAATTAAACACTCTTACAACTTAACAATAAAAACAATTCAATTTAAAAATGAACAAAGGATTTGAATAAGTATTTTTCTGAAGATACAGAAATGGCCAATAAGCTTATAAACCAGGGTTCAACATCATTAATCGTTAAATATAAATCAAAACCACAATGAACTACCATTTCACAATTACTAGGTGACTATAATAAAAAAGACAGACAATAGGTACGGTTGACGATGTGGACATTGGGAGCCCTCATAGATTGCTTGTAGGATTATACATGTTGCAATCATTTTTCAAAAAGAATTTGGTAGTTCTCAAAAGGATAAACACAGTTAGCACAGGACTTAGTAATTGCACTAAAGATATATTCAGGAAAATTTAAAACATACGTTTACTCAAAAACTTGTAAGCAAATGTTTTTGGTTTTTTTTTTTAAATATATTTTTATTGATTTCAGAGAGAGGAAAGGAGAGGGAGAGAGAGCTAGAAACATCAATGATGAGAGAGTCATTGATCGGCTGCAGCCCACAACCCGGGCATGTGCCCTGACCGGGAATCGAACCCCGATCACCTGGATCCTAGGTGGACGCTCAACCGCTGAGCCACGCCCGGCCGGGCCATAAGCAAATGTTAATAGCAGCATTAGCTGTAATAGCAAAGAGCAGAAACAACCCAAATGTCCATCAGCTGATGAATGGATAAACAAAATGTCCTACATCCATACAATAGAATATTATTCAGCTTCAAAAGAAATGAAGTACTGGTTCATGATACAACATTCCAAACTTTGAAAACATCATGCTAAATGTAAAAAGGCCCATGCAATACGCCACATACTGTATGATTTTCAGACGGGCGAGTAAGCCAGGACAAGTGGAATAGGGAAACAGACAGCTCAGCAAACTGAGAGAGCAATTTACAGCGAGTACTGAAGGTGACCAGGGCGGAAAGCCCCCGGTGCCTACCCATGGGCAAAACTGGGAAAACAAGGGCCTCGCCCCCAGGGTGACCTCTCCTCCCCTAGAGTATCACACTGGTCCTGGGGTTTAGACAGCCTGACCTTTCTTTCCTGGAGATAGCATCTAGGCCTCAGTTGTATTTCAGCTCCAGGCCCAGACAAGCAACTCCAAGGCTGACCTCCAGACCAGATGCATTGACTACTGACGCCCCCTGCCCTGGCGCCAGCCCATCCAGCTGAGACCATGACCCTGAAAAGGCACACCTGGGAAGCTGATGAATATTCTATTGAGATCCTCCCCTGAGGTCTCCCCTAAGGTTTTTTTGCCAGCAAGAGAGAGATAAATACCGTCAACACAAAGGACTTTAATGGGATTATTAATTTGCTTGGGAAGACAGTCTGGCAATTCCTTACAAAACTAAACATGCTCTCCCCATGTGATTCAGCAATCACATTCCTTGGTATTTACCCAAAAGAGCTGAACACTTATGTCCACACAAAAACCTGTACATGGATGTTTATAGCAGCTTTATTCCTAGTTGCGATAACTCGGAAGCAACCAAGTTGTCCTTCAATAGATGAATGAATAAGCTGTTCTGTACCGAGACAATGAAATATTATTCAACACTGAAAACAAACGAGTTATTCAGCCATGACAAGGCCTGGAGGAACGTTGAATGCATACTGTTAAGTGGAAAAAAGCCATTTTGAAAAGGCTATGTACTGTATGATTCTGACTATATAATATTCTGGAAAAGGTAAAACTATGGAGATAGTATAAAGATCAGTCTTTGCCAATAGTTGGGGGAAGCAGGTGTAAATAAGCAGAACCAGAGATGTTTAGGGCAGCGGATACGCTTTGTATAATACCATTATGATGGACTTGGCATTACACATTTGTCCAGATCCACAGACTGTACATCATTAAGAATAAACAATAATGTAATTTATGGACTTTGGGTGATAATGATGGTCAATGTGGGTTCATCAGTTGTAACAAATACACCATTCCGGTGGGGAATGTTGGTCATGAAGGAGGTCATGCATGTGTGGGGAGGGTGTATATAGGAAATCTCTGTACCTTCTCAATTCTGCTTTCAACCGAAAACTTCTCTTTAAAAAAGTGAGGAGCCTTAAAAAGATTATGTGATATAATTGCGTCGACCTACCTGAAACCTGGCACAGCAGAGCAGTTATTATCTAAATGTTTTCCGTCTTGCGAGGTTGCTTGGCTGCCCCTTTCCTGGTCCTTCCGCTACAAGAGAGCAGGATTTTGTTGGGGCTTCTTTTGTCTGCGCCCGTTAGTGTTTATGGGTAACCAGCTTCTTCAGCTCCAAGACTGGAACAGGTGAGGCAAAAGAAAACCCCAGAAACTCACCATAGTGTAGTCCTTTGGGTCCCAATGTTCCTGGCCTTCCTTCTCTCAGCCTTTAAGAACCTCTTAAGTGTGTTTATATATAATGTCTAAGGATTTGAGTTACACTTAGTGGAAAAGTAAGGACATCTACTCCATCTTTCTAAAGTTGAAAATCCCACAGTTAACGTCTATTTCCTTTGTCCATCTTAGCTACTACTCTGTATGCTTCCTCTAGAACTAACAACAGTAACACATCAGATTATAGACTGTCAACTGTGTATCAGACAACAGGTATGCCATGTGAGCTCCACAATATATTTATTCCCCATATATACTCAACTTCAGTGCCTGCTTCCAGCTCTTTTGACTTTTGGTGACTGTCCATATTTTATCTCCTGATCCTCTGGAAAAGGAATTTTATGAACCAGTTCTACCACAACCGATCTTTATATTTTGGAGTCTTCTTAAGGGGTAATAAGAAAGAGTCCCCATTCTGTCTCCTTTGATCCCCTTGTAATTCCAGTTGGGGCAACCAGTGCCTAGCCTTTGGTGAAAGCATAGTGGCTTGAGGAAAATCAGACCACATAAGCTTCTTCCCAAGTGCAACAGCTCGTAATTTGCATTTCTTGAATATGTTGTTAATCTTTGAGTCAAATGCTAGGTTTATGGTAAGTGCTCAATAGGTCATTATCGAAATGGTCCTAATTTACTGAGGACTGTAAGGATAAATATTCTTACTGGCATCACTTCTCTTATGATGTAGTGATGAGAAAAATCTGAAATATTCCTAATTGACCAAATTCTTGTGACTGATTCTATTTGAACTTTTGTGTTGGGGAAAAACAGAGCAGGGTATGAGATATTTTTCAGAGCCATTCACTACCCTTCACTGCTGGGCTTTGTATCAAAAGGGGGTCACCTCTACAAGTTACATTTCCTAGGCTTGTTTGCCAACAGGCTTTCACTGATACTGGGAAAATGGAAAGCATTGGTGGGAAATTGGAACGTGAGAAGCTAAGATAATTTTCCCCCTCTCTCTTTAATTTTGGGGCATCTTTGAGAGTGACTGTGACTCCTTAGGGGCTATAGTTCTTACTGGAGAGCCTATCTCTCTCTCCTCCAAATTCCCCACCTGATAATCCTGGTTCCTGGATTCTGCTAAGACTACCACCTCTCCTTTTCTCTACATTTCCAGAAATGGTGGTGATGCTTTACTTCAATCACCTGGAGAAAATGTAAATTTTCTCTATGATATTATTATCCCCGTATCCCTAAAATCACACAGGTCATAAAGGGTAGGGATGGTATTTGAACTGTGGCAACTGAACCACCAAGCTCTATCCATTTAACCAGTGTGTTGCTGCTACATCAATCCGTGGTGGGGCTGCCAACCTTCCCAAAATGAAATGCAGATATTGAGAGTAGCTCTTTCCTTAAAGCTTGACTGGTAATTCAAAGTAAGTCATATATTTGGGTGTGTGTTTTTTTTTAAATATTCCGTTGTTGATGGTATTTTACATATTAGTAGAGTGAGAAATCTAAAAATACATCCAAAAATGAATATACATTTTAAAATTTTGAGTTAATAATGCTTATCTCCCTCTATTATCCACAGGGCTTCTCAGCTTCTAGTCCAACTAACCACAGAGGAGGCTGAGCTCTAGAATTCTTGAAGATATTTTTACCCTTTCTCGGCCTATTTTTTTAAATGAAATTTCATGATATTATGCATTTCTTTCGGTGGAGATGGTAAGGCAAAAATTGTGTGGCTTATGATAAGAAAACATGTTTCTACATGTGCAACCAGGAAGAAATTTTTTATCATTCAGGCTGACCTTTAAGCTTGCTGTTGACATTTTTGTCTCTTAATTTGTAAGAAGTGACTTCCCAATTGTTTCTGGACAGGCTTTCAATCTGATTGTCAGCTAAAATAAAATTTTAGTGCATTCTCAGATGAAGTATTTTTCTCTTGTGGGCTAAGGGTTTATTAATCAATACCAAGGCTATCAGGACACAACTCTAGCTCCATTTTGAATTGTACTAAACCTCTAACTTTTCAACATTAACTTTGAGCAGATGATTCTCTAGCTTGGGATTTTAAAGAAAAACTGAAGACAATGTAAACATTGAATATTTTTTAAAGAAGAGTCAATAGAAGTCAAGGAATTCTAATATATTTTCCTTTTTTAATAAATACATAAAGCTCTTTATCATTTCCCTCCATTATTTTGATTAATATGATAGTAGGATCTTTCAGAGCATCATTATACCAATTTTCACAGCCTGATGTAAGGACTTGTTTCACAGAAATAATCATGACTAGCATTAATAGATGAATGTCAGTGCCATAACACAATAGTATAAAGCATATTTACACCATCTTAACATACAGAACACCATACACATACACAAAAAAATCACAGGTCTAGAACAAACAAAACTCAGTCTCCTACACAGCTTACATTTATAGGCTTTGCCTGAAACACTATTTTCTTTACATTTTTGTAATATGTTTTCTTTCCAAGCAACAAACAGATCTTCCCCACATCTTGTGATTTATTTGTAATATTGTGCTCATGCAAAAATAATACTTGTTTTATTGCATTAACATTTAAACAGTTTTGGATTCGGGTCCCAAAACCATCATCTAACATTTTACTTGATGTTGCTTCGTCCATATTATCATTTTAGTTGTAGTGATAGGATGATTTATTTTTAGCGAGTTACAAAATAAGACACGTATCCAGTTGACCACAGTTCAAAAATCAAGATTCTAAGCTTCCTGGTCATGCACATTTTACTTTCATTCTTGAAAAATGGTTTGAATCAGACACACCATTTTGATTCAACATTTATTGGTTTTCTTTTTTTAAATATTTCCAAAAACAACAGCAAAAAAAAAAAAAAAAGAATGAAAGAAAATACTGTCCCACATCCACTGTTCACAAAACAGAAGAGCAGCAAGAATCACACTGACCATTGTCAAGACACAGCCAGGTAGTGACACTGTAGTAAACATTGGATGTCATCGAAATACTGCAGGAAGGCGAGAATTACTATAACCCATACTTCTGTAGCAGTTCAGATTGCCACTGGCGTTTGCGCTCGGGAAAATAATCTGGAATGTGGATTTTTTTAAAATCCTGAATACACTTCTTCATTTCTTCTTCTACACTGAGCTTCTCACAGACTTTCTTTTTGGAAAGATTCGTTTCCCGGGACTTGCTGATGAGTGTCTGAAAGAGTTCACTGTTTCTGCGTTTGTCTGGGGGGGGCATCCATTGCACGGGCGCCTTTTTGGAAGGGCGATCCAGTGTTAGGGTGTTGGGCTGGGGAGCCGTGGCCTGCTGGGCGTTAGGTGGGTTGTCCTGGGGGGTGCTCGCCTCTGAATGGCTGTCACAGCTGGAAGTGGAGAGCTCGTTACAGGACGTCCCGCTCTCACTTCCTTTGTCTGTGACTTTCTCATGTTTCCTGTCTTCATGTTCTTGTTTGGGTGACACCACTTTCTGAGGTGGCCCTAAAAAGGAGAGAAAAGAGTAGAACAATTGAATAAGAAGTGGGAAGGGATTGGGATCAAAGCATCAATGATCTAATGCTTTAATTGAACTTTATAACTAAATGAAATTTATAATTTTTTGTTTTGTTTTAAACCAGGAACATTTATATTAAGAAAAATGCTGTTTGTTGAGGGATTAAATACAATACCTAGTGCCGTTAGTCTACATTAAAATACACAGCATGCTGGTTAATTATTTATAACGCAAAGTTTGGGAGGCTTGCCTAATGAGCCTTTCTGCCATAATGGGCCATCAATAACTTTATGTTTAAAAGATTTTTGTTAGTTACTATTTCCTAAAATCTGCAAACGATAGCATATGTAAATATTTTGCCAATTCCGTAACTGTTTCATTAGACCCTTAGTTTTTTCTGTTCTAGTTACTGACATTAGGTTTTCATTCTGTATATATTTTGCCATGTAAGCAGAAAGCACCATTGCTCAGTTTTACACAGTAGCAGTATTCTCCAGACCCAGAGGTGCCGTAGCATCACTTATGCTTCCAAGGGGGTGGATGGTTTAAATCTTATCCTCAGTCTTTTAATCTTATTTCCTCTGTATTTCCTCGGGGAGAATTAAGCAAGTGCTGTAAGATATATATGTGCCTAATATTATAGTGAAAAAAATATAGCTGAAATATAGTGTTCTCTTAAAATATAAGGCTTACCATTTGAAGTAAATTACCTAGGAGGACAATTTTCAGAAAGTGAGAGGTTGCCCAGATAATTATTTCAAACACACAAACAGTTTATTTCAAGAGAGAGCATATTTTATTCCCCTCGACTCTGCTGTGAGATTAGGACATCTATTTAACATTTATTGAACACTACCACATACCCAGAACTATAATAAAACCTTGATTAACTGAAGCCTAACCATTCAGAAATATTAAGTTACCCAAATCTCATTTTTTTTCTTTGGTCAACTTTTATGAGCAAGTTATATAAATCAGGATGGGGGAAAACGCATCAGTATTTTTAAGCAATTGCCCAGGGATTCTACTGTGCAGCCAGAGTTGATCAAAAAAATTGGGTCTAATTCATAGGGTCTCAACCTGAACCACATACGGAATTATTTTGAATGTTTAGATTATTGATGCTTTGGTCTCAATCCAAGGCATCCTGCTTTAATGAGATGCCACCTGGCCATTGGGTCATTTAATAGATCCAGGTGACTTCAATGTGCAGCCAAAATTATGAGCCTTTCCTCAGCCTATTATTTATGCAATGAGTTCATAACCAATATGTATAGTTTATATCACTCAGAAGGGTAGGAAAACCAACCAACAAAAATACTTTTCACAAAAAGCACCTACTATGTGCGACTTACTATTTGGGTGCTAACATCAATTTTCCTACTTAAAATCAGAAGAAACAAAAGTTGATAGGAAAAATTCAGTTGGGTTGGATTAAAGGTTTAAAAAGCTTTGGAACTTTTTGGAATGATGGAAATATCCTGTATGTTGACTATCGTGTTAGTTACAGGATTGTATACATTTGTGAAAACTGACAAAATTACATAGCTAAAATGGGTGAGTTTTTCTGTATGTAAACTATACCCCAATTAAACCAACCAAAACCAAACAGCCCCACCTTATTAAAGAATATGTACCTATTTGAGGGAAGGCCTAACCATTATTTCATACCTGCTCTGTCTGCAATATAGTAAACGGAAAACAGGTCTTGATACGTATGAATGCTTAGTACTAACATGCACTAGTACATTCCAGAAGTATTTGCAACAATGGATTGAAGAAAACAAAAGCAGCAGCTGTTTTTCTGTCTCGGCCAGGCCAGTCATTTACTGAAGGAGAATGTGGGTGAGCCTGAGGGGTGGGGGGAAGTCAGCACTATTGCTGCTGACTTTCCTGAGGCATTCTGAATCCCCCTTTGTCCCTTTTGGTGGGTGGGCACAAACTATGTCCTTAGGGCCGCTTGCTTTCTGGCTTTCAGTTGGATTCAATCAATGACAAAGACTGGCAAGACTATGCCTCCTCCCCTCCCCCAGGACTTCTGTGATCTGGTTGCCTCCCTGGACCACAGGCACAGCCCTGGTGGGCGACTCTCGAAGCCACCTCCTCGCCTTTCCCTCCCCTCTGCCTCCCTCTGCCGCCCTCCCTCCCAGATGCCATTAAACCGAGGCTCAGGCCTTGGGGTCCACAGGGGTTAACCACATCACCGCAGCTGGCGGGAGCGTGCTGGCCGCACTGACGTACACTGTCAGGATCCAACTGTCTTCAAATCGCCCAGTTCAATATGCTTTTCCTTTCTTCCCGAGCCCTCACTGGTCCCCAACCATCCTCTCCGATGACTAGGGGTATGCTACTTGTAGGATCAGTTAGTCTTAAAAGATACCATTTTATTGATTTCTGAGAGAGGAAGGGAGAGGGAGAGAGAGAGAAACATCAGCGATGAGAGAGTCATTGATCGGCTGCCTCCTGCCCGCCCCCTGCTGGGGATCGAGCCCGCAACCCGGGCCTGTGCCCTGACCGGGAACTGAACCGCGGCCTCCTGGCTCACGGGTGGACGCTCAACCACTGCTCCAGCTGGGCTAGGATCCGTTTTTAGTGATACCAGATTTTAGTGGCAATAATATTGAAAAAGGTCCTGACCTGGAATCAAATTCTAGCTTCCTAGCAAATAACCTTACGGCCTTGAGAGAGATACTTAACCCCTCTCAGTTTCAATCCCGTTATCTGCAAAATGGGTAGTTGGACTTTCCTCGCTGGGTTATTTTGCGATTAAATGAAATACCATACAAAGGATCTAGCAAAGCAGTTCAGAACAATCAGAGTAGATCACTGTCACTGTTTTAAATGTGCAGATGTTCAGGCCCATCTCTAGGGACTTTGTGTCTGCCACAGGGCTCATATGACACGGGTTATAAACAAGTGTTTTTTACCCTTTCTGCCAATTCTCTGCATTGCTTTAACCAGAAATCCCTAAAGAAAAATCTACAACTTTCATTCCCAATAACGACTAAGAGATTAAACTGCAAATACCTGAGAAAACCAATTTACATTGAAGGATAAATGAGTAATGAGAAATCATTTTATGTTAATAGGCATGGGGGTAGAATGTTAAATAGAGATGTCCAGGCAGAAAAATAACATTGGAGTGGAAGACAGCACAGAAACAGGACGCAGTTGACCCTTGAGTAATGTGGGGGTTTGGGGCACCCCACACACAGTCAAAAATCCATGTACAACTTTTGACCCTCCAAACTTAACTGCTAATAGCTACTGTTTACCAGAAGTCTTACTGATAACACCATTGGTTAACACATATTTTGTATGTTATATGTATTACATACTGTATTCTTACCATACGAAGTAAGCTATAGGAAAGAAAATGTTATTAAGAAAATCATAAGGAAAGGCAAATATATTTTCAGGATTTTTTCTACTTATTGAAAAAAATATGTGTGTAAGTGGACCTGTGCAGCTCAAACCTTTCAGGGCTCAACTGTACCAGGCGACACAAAAACAAACCCTTCATTTTGTTTGTATTTACTGTGAGGAAAGGCTTAATGACATCCTCTAGGGAGAATACAGAGTTATAAATCCCATGCTTTAGCTAAATAAATTATATACAGTTATTATGCCTAATGGCATTGCAATTTATTCCTGGAAATAAGCCTCTGCACCCAACACACACACACACACACACACACACACACACACACACACACACTGCAGAAATTCACACACACACACACACACACACACACACTCTGCAGAAATTCCCCAAGACAATAGAATGCAACACATGTGCGATGGAAATAAATTGTGCTTCTAGTGTAAGATCAAGAAAGATTTCTTTGAGAAGACATTCATCTGTTCAGCCAACAGAACCGTATTGTGCACCACTATGTGCCATGCTCTGCGCTAGGATCTGGAAGAGGCACACAGCAGATGCTCTGGTGACACTCATAGGCTATTTTATGATGCTTTATAACATTAAGTGTTTCAAATGCATGGGCAAATACGAATATCTTCCACTGTAGACTTTAAATGCTATGAAAAAACAGAGGTGGGAACCTGAAATTACTATGATCTAAACAGCTTCTTCTGTTTTCTTAAAAAGAATTTAGAATAGGTACAGATATTAACAAGAATTAACAAATATATGATTTATTTTCACTCCTATTTCATAAGCTATTTTAGGCAAGGTGGACTCCCAATCAGGAAAGCAAACAGGTTCAGATGTCTCTACTATGACTTAAGGAAAATGCTTAACTTCATTTTGTCCACATTTTCAATGTGTAGAATACTATGATAGTTTTCTGTATAAACCAGTAGGTGTAACAAGTAATCTCCTTTTATGTCAAAATTTTTGAGAATGTATAACAAATTATGTATTATTATTGCTATTTGGTTAAAAACACTTTAAATCATTACTGGTAACTTAATGGATTCAAATTGGGACTAAGATACAATAATAAAATTATTTATGTGCTTTTATGACAAAATTTAAAACAAATAAATGAATTCAAAGGAAATAATGATTTCTCTAGTTGCTTAGTTTTCTTGTGGATGCCTGCTAATTGTAGGCTTCCAGGGATAATTTAAAACTTTAAATTTATATCATTCCATTCATGATCCAAAGCCACTTGGAATCCTTATGCACAACATAAATCATTATTTTAATAACACTAATTCTTGCATATACAAGGAAGCTTGATTTCCAGAAACTTCTGTGTCTCTTCAGCTAGTAACAGAATCAAATGTATACCTAAATGATCTTCTTAAAATCAATTTGCCCTCTGAGTCAGAGCACCAAGCAGACTTAGTATAAGGAAAAAAAAAGTGATTTGGTGGTTTTATCAGCCGGGTTTTCCTCCACCACATAAAGAAAATCATCACTAAATGTTAAACAAAAAAAATCAGCGAATGAGCAAATCTCATACCTATTTAAGATTTAAATTGTAAAAGGAGTTAATTATTTATACGTACACCTAGA